AGACAGTGGCTCCTGCGGATCGAGCACCAGGCGCTGTCAGGGTTCTCTCCCCAGCACATTTACAAGACTTGATGGGTTCTTCTCTTGGGAGCAACCCCCAGTGGGCAGCAGGAGGGGACGGGAGGCCTGGTAAATGCTCCTCCCCATCACCTTGGTGGGGACAGCATCCTGTCGGGTGGGGCAGCTGGGGGCGGTGACCCTCCAGGTGCTCCAGGCAGAGAGTCACACATGGGGCTGAGAACTCACAATATGAGAGGGTGGGTTCTCAACTGAGCTCCAGGAGTGATTTGGGGATTAGGAGAACGACCACATCAGAACTCCCACTCCCTGAGGTCCCCGGCCCCCCACCATGCTGCTCCAGGTCTCCAGACCCCAGCTGCTGTTATCACCCTGCTGTTTGGCAGAAACCTGGGTCCCATTTAAACTCTGACATGGTTTGTCCGGTGTCCCCACCCAAATCTCATCTTGAACTGCAGTTCTACAATTCCCACGTGTTGTGGGAGGGACCCAGTGGGAGGGGATTGAATCACATGGGTAGGTCTTTCCTGTGCTGTTCTCATGATGGTCTCAAGGAGATCTGATGGCTTTATAAGGCGGAGTTTCCCTGCACAAGCTCTATTCTCTTGTCTGCTTCCATGTGAAACGTGTCTTTCACTCGCCAGGATCAGAGGTCTCCCCAGTCATGTGGAACTGTAAGTCCAATAAGCCTCTTTTCTTTGTGGTCCAGTCTCAGGTGTGTCTTTTCCCAGCAGCATGAAACCGACTGATACAAACTCCTCTCTGGCGAGGCCAGTTGTGGCTGCTCAGCCACTGGGGAAATCTGGGCTCACTGCCACAGACTCAGTGGGGTTTCCAATCTCAATTCCAGCCTGGAAGATGAATGATGGCTTTTGATCATAGAGTTAGGAAATACACACATGTGGCTGGGCGTGGTGAAGGTTTCAAGCCTGTAATCCCAGCACTTTGGGAGGCCGAGACGGGCGGATCACGAGGTCAGGAGATCGAGACCATCCTGGCTAACACGGTGAAACCCCGTCTCTACTAAAAACACAAAAACTAGCCGGGCGAGGTGGCGGGCGCCTGTAGTCCCAGCTACTCCGGAGGCTGAGGCAGGAGGATGGCGTGAACCCGGGAGGCGGAGGCCAGAGAGCTGAGATCTGGCCACTGCACTCCAGCCTGGGCCACAGAGTGAGACTTCCATCTCAAAAAAAAAAAAAAAAAGAAATACACACATGTGTGACTCTAAGAAATTAGCCAAGAAGCTATCACTGTGTGCCCCATAGAAAGTAAATGCTAATTTTTTTGTGAGAGAACTGAAATCTCATGTGGTATTTGGAGCACAGAGCCACTTGATAGGAAGGAGGCCCCGATGGAAGTTCAAACTTCTGGTAGGCAACAGAGCAACAAAAATAGAAAAGGAGAAAAATAACAGAAAACCAAATGAGGAGCTTGGCGGAGAAAGAAACCCAGGATGGAGCAGGCATGGCTGCTACTCCGGGATGGAGAGAAAGGCTGTTACCCGGGGATGGCAGGTGCAGATGTTAACTTGGGATGGAGCAGGTGGTGGCTGTTACCCGGATGGAGCAGGTGCGGCTGGCACATCTGGGATGGAGAGAAAGCGGCTAGCACCTCAGGATGGAGCAGGTGCGGCTGTTACCTCAGGATGGAGCAGGTGCGGCTGTTACCCGGGGATGGAGCAGGTGCGGCTGTTACCCAGGGATGGAGCAGGTGCGGCTGTTACCTGGGGATGGAGCAGGTGCGGCTGTTACCTGAGGATGGATTAGGCAGTGGCTGTTACCCATGAACTAAATGCAGCTCTGCATCAGAGAAGAAAACATAGTGAATACAGCAGTCCTTGAATTGACATACTACATTTAGCAAACATACGCTCTATAGTCACAATTTCATTTGCCAAATTAGACACTTCTTGGTTGACACTTATGGAGGTTTGATTGTTGGATGAAGGCACTCATCATAGCATAATTGGTTTTGCTCTCTCCCACAGAGCTTCTTGGGAGACTGCTTAATCAGACTTCCTTAAAGCTCCTAAAAGAGGTTTCCTCCTACCCAATACTACTGACATCTGAGAAACCCAAGCTGCTCAAGACAAATTAAAGATATTCATCACCTTTCCCAAATTTACGGCTCTGGCTCCTTTCATATCCTGACGGGGCATTTTGGTCTGCAACAATGCCCCTAACCCCAGTGCCTCCTCTGATCAAATTCCACCTGATTCCTTGGCTTTCCTTTCCCATAAATGTCATCGAAACACTGAGCTTGCCTCCTGATGGAGAGAGTGATTTTATGCAAATTTCTTTACTCATCATTAATTTTAAAGACCAACATTCATCAAGGAAGGAAAATCGTATCTAAAAGGCAATAATATTATCTTATATGAAGCATTGCTTCCACACAAGAAGATCCTTTGATTTTGTGGGAAGCATTGCTTGAAATAGTTTCTATATCCAGCAATTTGATATTCTATGGGATTTAAGACAAAGAGAGCCTCTGCTAGTAGAACTGGAAGGGCACACTGGGAACTGGGGCGGGCACACGGGGAACTGGGTGAGCACGCAGGCTCCAGAGCTGCCCGCGTTTGCTCTCAGCTTGCATATCCCAGAATGCATTTCACATGACACTATAACAATTACAGACGTCCTTCACAAGGCAAGGGCTGATGAACCTCCAATTTGGGGAATCCAAACAAACATCTGGAAAGAAGGGGCAACCAGGCCGAATGAATGTGCTCATCAGGACACACTCACTGGAGGTCTTGCTCATCTGGTGACCTGTTGCTCCTAGAAGCAGGCCCTCAGAGCTACAGAGGGGTTCTATAGACATCAGCCTGGGGCTTCACTTTGAGCCTCCTCAGCCATCAGGAAGGGGAGTGTGGATTCAGCAAGCCTGGACCTTCCCCCAAGATGTGGCACTGCGGAGTGCGGGGTCACTCAGGCTCCTCCAGCCCAGCTGTGGAAACCTGAGCTCATCCTCCCAGGAGCTGGGCTTCCTCGGGAACTTTTCCTGACACACACTCCATGTCAAGGGGTCGCTAACCCAGGACTGGCTTGGCATCAGAAATAGCTGCAACCTTTTTTGTGCCCCGTGAATATGCAAAATCAGGTAGACAGTCATCTGAAGTCTCCACACCCAGTGTCACCTCCACACAGACCCCACAGGGGCTCCCGGTCCAGCACACCATCGCCCAGCCTTGTGGACAAGTCCCCAGGCTGTTATGGTGTCAGAGACAAAATTACAACAAATCTAGTTTAAAGACTGAATTGGCTTCTATTTGTGATTCTAGACTTGGGAACACTCCGTCCTGGAAGGATGGGCACAGGAACTGAGCGGGGTGTCCGTGAACTGGAGTGGGGGTGTCCTGTGAACTGAGCGGGAACCGAACTGAGCCGGTGTCCTGTGAACTGAGGCGATGGTGTCCCGTGAACTTGAGCAGGGTATCCCAACCAAGTGGGGGTGTCGCGTGAACTGGAGTAGGGTGTCCTGTGAACTGAGTGGGGGAAGCCATGAACTGGAGTGGGGGTGTCCTGTGAACTGAGGGGATCTGCAGATGGAAGGCCTCGGAGAGTAGGAATGAAACACAGAAGGGTGGGTTTTTCAAGGCTACTTTCAAGGGTTAAAAATAGAGGGCTTCTGTGTTAGGTGGACTCCAGGTTGATTTCAATACCTGCAATTTTGAAACTGCCCATTTCCAACGTTGGTTTGGTGATGTGGGCCTTAGCACAAGTGGACTCTATCTGGCTTGGTCTGTTCTGCTGGGCCTAGAGCAGGACACTACACAATGACTGGTCCAAAGTTGTTAACCAATTTTGTTTAATAACATTATTGCACAATATGAGATTAATTTGGTATTAATTTGCAGTAGTTTGCTTTAAGATAAGATTTATATTACATCTCTAGAATAACCACTAGCAAATAACTTAAAAGGAGTAAAAGATACATCAAAATATTAAAATTGTATAAATGAAGTATCTATTTAACATAAAAGTAGGCAGTAAAAGAAGAGTAAAGAAACAAAACAGGCCGGGCGCGGTGGCTCACGCCTGTAATCCCAGCACTGGGAGGCCGAGACGGGGCGGATCACGAGGTCAGGAGATCGAGACCATCCTGGTTAACACGCTGAAACCCCGTCTCTACTAAAAAATAAAAAAAAAAAACTAGCCTGGCGTGGTGGCGGCGCCTGTAGTTCCAGCTACTCGGGAGGCTGAGGCACGAGAATGGCTGAACCCGGGAGGTGGAGCTTGCAGTGAGCCGAGATCTGGCCCCTGCACTCCAGCCTGGGCTACAGAGTGAGACTCCATCTCAAAAAAAAAAAAAAAAAAAAAGATACAAAACAGATACAAGCCATAGAGAAAACAACTAGTAAAACAGCGGATGCAAATCCCACCTTTTAGTCACTATCCAATGGAATCGCACAGAAAGCAGGAGATGAGGCAGAACAGGCAGCAGCGCAGCCCAGCGATGGGGTGTCCGCAGCAGAGACGCCAGAGCCGCCACGGGCTTCCCACAGCTGAGAGAGACGCCAGAGCGGTGATGGGCTTCCCCACAGCAGACGCCTGAAGCCGCTGCGGCTTCCCCACAGCAGAAAGAGACGCCAGAGCGGTGATGGGCTTCCCTACAGCTGAGAGACGCCAGAGCGCCACGGGCTTCCCGCAGCAGAGACGCCGGAGCAGCCATGGGCTTCCCGCAGCAGAGACGCCGGAGCAGCCATGGGCTTCCCGCAGCTGAGAGAGACGCCAGAGCGGTGATGGGCTTCCCGCAGCTGAGGGAGACGCCAGAGCCGCTGGCGGGCTTCCTGCAGCTGAGGGAGACGCCAGAGTCAGCCATGGGCTTCCCGCAGCTGAGGGAGACGCCAGAGCCGCCATGGGCTTCCCACAGCTGAGAGAGACGCCAGAGCCGCGATGGGCTTCCCACAGCTGAGACGCCAGAGCAGCGATGGGCTTCCCGCAACAGAAACGCCAGAGCCGCCATGGGCTTCCCACAGTAGAGACGCGTCAGAGTCCAACGGGGAAAGGTGGAAAGAGACACACCATGTAAACAATAACCAAAAAGGACATCGGGGGGCTGAATGCAGACAATAGACTTTAGGACAGAGTCATTGTTTGAGACACCAAAAGGACATTTGATAAAAACAAAATGGTCAATCTCTCCCAAGACGTAACAAATATGGACACACATCACCCAACACCGGAGCCCAAACTACACAAAGTAAAAAACGACAGAATTAAAGGGAGAAATAGACAATCTGACAGTGAACGTTGGTAACTTCACTGGTCCCACCTTGAATGAGTGATGGAGCCACTAGGTGGAAGATCAACAAGCAGACGGGAACAAACCCCTTGAACCAGGGGATCCAGTAGACGGGCCTCTGCCAAACGGTCCACACACAGCCGTAGCCACGTTCCTCTCGAGAGGAGAGGGAGCGGTTCTCCAGGGTGGACCACACAGGAACGCCTGAAGAAGCCTCAGGAAATGGAGGACTGACATGTGAGAGTTATGCTCTCTGAACAAAACGGAATGATAGGAGGAATCAATACCAGGAAGGAACTTGGGAAATTCAAAAACAGGTGAAACAATGCAAATAACCAAAGAATTCAAGAATACAATTTAACAACATTGTAAAATAACTGAATACTAACTAAAAGGCAAACACAAGATACTAAAATTTGTGGGGAATAGTACTTAGGAGAAAATTTAATGGTGAAAATGCCTGTATTAAAAAAGTCAAGTTTTAATATTCAAGTCGCTAACATAATCTTCAATCTTAAGAAATGAGAAGAATAAACACAACTCACGTGCGGCAGACACAAGGAAGGAAATAAAGACACGATGGAGGGTAAATTAAATAGTGAATTAAATAACAGTAGCAACAATTCGTGAAACCAAAAGTTTTTGAAAACCTCAGCAAATTTAACAAACCTTTAGATAGGCTGACCAAGGAATGATAAAGATTAAAATTACTAAAATCAGCAATTAAACAGAGGGCATTAATACTGACCTTAGGAAATGAGGAAGATTATAAGCAAATATAATAAATAATTGTATGCTAAAAATTCAATAAACTAAAAGAAGTCAACAAATTTCTTGAAAATCTCCAAAAGAAATAGAAAATCTCAATAGACCAATAACAGTAAAGAGATTGGATTAGTAATCAATAAACTTTCCACAAAGAAAAGGCCAGCCCCAGATAGCTTCATGCATGAATTCTACTAAATATTTAAAGAAGAATTAATACCAGTCACTCAAAACATGTCAAAAGGCCAAAACCAAAACAGAAGAAGAGAGAATATTCTTAACTCATTCATTCAATAGTCCCAGTATTACCCTGGTACCAAAACTGCACAGAGAACTCACAAGATAATAATCGATATCCCTTATGAATCAATATCTCTAAATGTATATCTAAATGAATGAATATTTAGAGATATAAATATTTGCAAAAATATTAGCAAATTGAATCCAGCAATATATAAGAAGGAATTATACACTGTGAATGATTGGGATTAACTTCAGGAATGCACAGTTGATCTAACATAAGGAAACAAATGAAAACAATACACTGTATTAAAAGAATAAAGAAAAAACATAATCTCAAAAGATGCAAAAAATTCATGTGACAAAATCCAACATCTTTTGAGGAGTGTGAACAAGCTAAACATAGAAGGAAACTTCCTCAATCTGATAAAATCCTTCTAAGAAAAGCCCATAGCACACTTAAATTTGAAAGCCTGAATGCTTTCCTGTTAAGATCAGGAACAATACAAGGACATCCACACTCTCAACTTCTGTTTAACATTGTCATCGATGTTCCTGTGAGGCAATTAGGCAAGGCAATGAAATGAAAGTCATCCGGGTTGGAAGAAAGAAGTCAAACTCTATTGTGGATGACATGACCTTGTATATGGAAATCTCTAGAAACACACACACACTATTTTAATGAATAAATGACTTCAGAAATGTTGCTCGGTACCCGAACAATATACAAAAATCAATTGTAGACCTATATGCTAGCAATAAAAAATTCAAAAATGAAATTAAAGCAATTTCATTTACAATAGCATCGATGAATAAAATAGGAAGAAATATAGCAAAAAAGTTATGACTCGTTACTGTAAACTACAAAACACTGTTTTAAAAATTAGATAAATAGAATGATATTTTATGCTTATGGATTGGAAAATTTAACATTGTTAAGAGCAAATTGATCTGCAGATTCAACAAAATCCCTATAAAAAATTTCAGCTCAGCTGCTTTACTTCTAGAAATTGACTAGTTAATCCTAAAATTCATATGGAAATAAAAGGAGTTACAAACACCAAAAACAATCTTAAAGAAAATTTTAAACAAAGTTGTTGGATTCGTGCTTCAAGATTTCAAAGTGGCACCGCCAAGCTACAGTAGTGAAAACAGTATGATAGAGGCATAAAGATGGATACACACATCAATGAAATTGAACTGAAAGTCTAGAAATAAGCCCTTATATTTATGGCCAATTGATTTTTGACAAGTGTGCCAATGGAAATCGAGGAGGAAAGAATGGTCTTTACAACAAATGGTGCTAGGACAACTGGATATCCACCTGCAAAAGAATGTAATTTGATTTCGACTTCACACCATGTACAAATTTAATTCAAAATTAATCATAGGTCTAAAAGTAAGGTTAAAACTATAAAACTTTCAGCAGAAAACATAGGAGTACATTCTGTGTGACCTCGGATTTGGTGATGATTTTTTAGACCTGACACCAAAAGCACAAGCAACAAAAGACAAATCAGATAATTTGGACTTTATCACAATTTTGTAAATATTCAAAATAAATTTAAAAATTATTTTGCAGTTTCAAAAGACACCCTCAAGTATATGTAAAGACAACACACAGAATGGGAGAAAATATTTCCAAATCACAAATCTGATAAAGCACTGGTATAAAAAATATATAAAGAATGCCAGTAACCAATGATAAAAAGAAATACAAGCAAATTAAATGAACAAAAACTAAATAGATAGTTCTCCTAAAAAGATATACAAATGACCCATAAGCCTTTGAAAATGCTCAAAATTATTAGTCATTAGGAAAAAGCAAATTAAACCACAATAAAAGATCACTTCACAACAACTACATTGACGAGAGAGAGAGGTGAACATATCAGAAGCTTCAATCATTGCTAACAGAACTGGAAAATGCAGCCACTTTGGAAAACAGTTTGGCAGATCTTCAAAATTGCAACAGAGTTACCACATAATTCAGCTATTTCACTCCTGAATGTATACTCAGGAGAACTGTGGTAATATCCACATGCAAAAGCTGGTACACAACTGTTCATAGCAACATTTGGTATTGATCATAATACCAAAACAAGGAAACACATCAAATGTTCAACAACTGATAAATGAAGAATCAAAATGTGGTATATTCATACAACAGATTATTATCAGCAATAAAAAGAAATGAAAAAATGTTGTAAAATACATGCACCATCAAAACATCACTTTAAATGAAATAAACCAAAGATTCTATTTGCATGAAATGTTAAGATTCCATTTGCATGAAATGTCTGTAATCAGCAAATCCACAGAGGCAGAAAGCAGACTTGTGGTCACTAGGGCTTGGGGGAGAGGCAGGAAGGGGAATGACTGCTATTGAGTCCAAGTTTCATTTTAGAATGATTTAAATGCTGTAAAATTATATAGCAGTGATGGCTGGACATCTCTGTGAATACACTAACAATGCTGAAATGTACACTTTAAAGTGGTGATGATTGTGGTCTGTGAATTACATCTTAACAAGCCTATAATTCAACAGAAACTTACAGGTAGCCACTATTATTAGAATCACAACAGACAGAAGAACAATGAATAAGCTTCAAGAAACTGTGTTATATTTATGAATCTGGAACAAAGAATGAAATACAGAGCCTGCAGCCTGAGTTCTAAGCTCCGTTACATGTTGGCAGCCAATGACAGATACTGAACGTCAGGTGGTGATTCTCCACCGTGTCTCTTCTGGACGCAAGGGTGTGACGGGGATTTGCCGGCGAACCTGTGCTTCCTCCATGGGTTGACGAGGGGCTGGTCATTTACAGACTGGTCGGGAGCAGTGCCTGACACTCAGGGGTCTGGGGCAGTAGGGATCCGATTATGACTTGAGGTGGGAGAGATCGCGGAGGACTGCAATGGTCCCTCTTGTATTTGAACAAAGTGACGGCTGCCAAGGTGTAGGGCTGATGGAGGGAGACCCTCAGTGTGGAGAGCACTGCCCCAGACGCCTTGCAGCATCACAGATGGGCACTGCTGCAGTTGCAAAGGGGCACCCATCGCTGATGGGAGCGGGAGAGGGCAAAGCAGGCAGCATTCAGGGCTCTCGTGACCAGGAGAAAAGGAGAATGGAAAGGTGGCCACCCGAATTCTCACCTGGGTGACTCCAAAACTGGGGTCATGGTTAACTAAGATCTGGAATTGGAGGGAAGAACCACGTTTAAACATAAGTGATCTTTTTAAATATAAGGATGATGATGATGATGTTTGTGTCTGTTTTGATACATGTCACATTAAAATCTTGGAGTCTGTGAGCCACGAAGTTGACAATTTCCAATAAGCATAAAATGTGTTTCCTTAGCTAAGAAAATAACTTACAATAAAGGGAATGCTAATGTGTGTTTCATCACTATGTACAAGGAAGCTGAAGTTACTGATACATCATTTCTCCCAAGGAGAATTGTGGCTTCAGTGGAGCCGAGAGATGTATCCTTGGGAAACCAATATATTTAGATACAGGTTAAGAAACAGGTGCTCCTGAAAACACAACCTGAGCCCACTCGGAGACATGAGCAGCCTTTGATTATTTGGAGGCCCAAATAGACCTCCAGCAGCAGGGATGGGATGGGGCCCTCTGTGGAGCTTCGAGGGACTCCCCGGGATAGACATGGGCCACAGAGTGTAGGCGACTCTGTCAAGACAGGGGGTGTTTGGAGAAAATCAAGGACAAAGTGGACAGAGGGACGGAAACACAGAGAGACAGAGATGCAGACACACAGAGAGATGAGACAGAAGGACGGGGACAGAGGGACAGAGTCACAGAGAGACAGAGAGATAGAGATGCAGAGAGATGAGACAGAAGGACAGGGGACAGAGGGACAGAGACAGAGAGATGCAGACACACAGACGAGACAGAAGGTCAGGGGACAGAGGGACAGAGTCACAGAGAGACAGAGAGACAGAGATGCAGACACACAGAGAGATGAGACAGAAGGACAGAGGACAGAGGGGCTGATTCTTCCCCCAACTCTTTGTTCCCTCTTCTTCTTTTGCAATGAGCTAAGCCATCCTCTGAAACTATAAAATAGTTGTCACATATCCTGCAAAACTTTTGTTCCTTATGTCAGGGTATAATTTTCTCACACCTCAGTCTTTCCAAAGAATATTTACTCTCCTTAGAAATTTGTTATTACAAGTCCTTTTTGTAGAGACTACTCCCTAGTTGAAAAAGTGTTGCTGAAAAATTAT